ATATGGTTTACACGTGTAGCACTACTTCCTTAGGAGTTGCTGAAGATTTGGGTCCCCCTATAGCCCTGCACAGCCAGGCAACATGCATTTTCTTCAGACCCTGCACACAGGAGACAGTAAACAGTCCTTGAGCCTGTTTTTTGGGTTTTATTAAGAGCTTGGATGGGGATGAGTTAAAAAATGTTGAGGTCGTAGGAACTGCAAGCCGGTGTCATCCCTTAGAGTAATGCATGTAGGGAAATCTTCTCCCCTGGAGATGGGACTTTAAAGGGCAGCACTGATCATTGAGCCAAATATCAGAGACAAAAACATTATCTTAAAAGCACAATAGGTTATTGAGAGAAAAAAAAAATTAAAAATGAACAATAGTATTCAACAAGTGTGGGGATGAGGGGTATAAAAGATGTCCAAGGGAACTGAGGACAAACTCATAGCAACAAGTCTGTTAGACAGCAAAGTCTCTTTGATGGAAGAGCTCTCCAGCCCTCCAGGTGTACCACCTCAGACCCCAGATGAATTCTCCTCTTCACCCAGCAGTCCCAGATGGGGGCTAGTCAGGTTTCCCAACAGAATGCCCTCTCCCCTTATCTGCGGAATTACTCGGTCCTCTCCTGAAAGCTTGTGGGTTGGTGGCTGCCTTCAGGACTTAGACTGGGCTGACTCCTTCCTTGCTTCCCAGGCTGTCCTCTCTCAGGGAACGGCTGAGACTGAGAGATGGGGGTCCCTGGAGATCCTCCCTTCCAGCTCCTCTGCCTGTAGGTAGGTCTCTCTCCTTGGCCCCCTCCCAGGCTCCTTACTCCAGCCTGCTCACTCAAATCTTCCACCCGAACTCTCCTGCTGCTGAGCAGGCTGTAGTACATTTAAAGTTTGTCCTGGCTCCATGTCATGCTTACTGCTTGGGTATTGGCCAGGATCCCTTAAGTATGCAGGCCAGCTTCTCCTCACTCTCACCCACTGCTTCTAGAATCTTCTCTAAGATTCTAGAGCAGGGGGAGGTATCAAGGACCTGACCTGCATAGCCTTACAGCCCTGATGTAAAATAAGCCTCTAACACAGCCCAGACTGCTTTTTAGCCTTTCTAGCTGAAAAACCTAATCTAGCTCCCGCTAGCTACCTAGGAGGGTGCTACACATGTGTTTCTGCGTGTTGCACATAGGGCAGCCCGTTCACTTCAATGGGCTGCCCTATGAATGTTTGTTGCCCAAAAGAAGCTCCTGCTCCTTTTTTTGGGCAACAAGCTTAGTATGATTTTTAAACTCACATTTTCCTACAATTGATGCATGTATATGTCACATAACAATCGTGGCAGAATCTCACCATGTTTGGGTTGCCCCTAAAAATAATGACTTCCAAAGACGTGTTGCACATTTTGCTGAGATTTGGAAATTGGGGCAGAAATTTGGGAAATTTGCGCAGAATCAAAGTGATTCTGTCTGAAATTCCAAACTGCCTGTTTAGTTGGAATTTCTTTGCTTTGTTTTACTGTTGTCCAATGCTGGTTACAAAAGAAGACTCAAATTAAAATGAATTAATTTGTTTGAATTTGATTAGTTCATCTATAAAACTGATTTATATATTTGTAAAATATACGAGGTGGCCCTCAAACTGGGAAGGTTGGAGAACCCAAATATATATCAAGAGTATAATTTTTCAAAACAGTTCCACCTTTTAATATTAAAAATCACCCTTGTTGTGTTACCCTGCTCCTGCCTCTCTTGACTACCTCCATTTTTAAAAAATCCAGCACGTGTGCAGACCTGACAGAGTCCTACAGCATGTCTGTGCATTTCTCTGCATGCATTGGAATATTTACGCATGTACACAGATGCTGTTAATAACTGGTATCTGGCACATTTAAGTGGGGTGGCTAAGCATGTCCCTCCTAATTGCAAGACAGTGATGAAGGTATACATAGGCACAGGAACCCAAGAGTTAACTGGAGGACAGTTAGAGTGAAGGCCTCAGCCTTATTCTGAGGCATTGATGAAAAATGCCACAGCGTGAAGGTATCCCATGAGAAAAAGTCAAGTGATCCTGTTATAGATGACTAGCATAGCCCAGAAGAACCCACCCCATGGTAGGCCTTTTAATGTTAACCACACTTGGTGCCCAACAAGGAGGGGAACGTTGAGGAACGTGGGGTTACACCTACTGCATGCACTCAAAGACCACCACTAAAGGGACCATGGCATAATTAGCTAGCTCAAATCGTTCAGGCTTGCACAGTGATAAAGAACGTGCTTGGTTATGTCTAAAACCTGATTGACTCCAGCACAAGGTACTCACACTGGATTGGCAGATGTCCTGATAACGGGGCGTATATAGCAACCGTATCCAGAAGACATGCAGACTGCTCCATGTATGTTGCTAGCCGACACTATGGCCAAGTGGACTCTGCCTTGGAAGAAGGCCCCACTTCTGACTGACACTGGAGTCTGGTATGTTCCTGCACTGGGGTTTGCCCTCTGCGAATTTGGTTTCTGGTAGGAGTGGCGGAGGCGCTTTGTAACCACTGTCCTTAGATTGTTAGCTCTTAAAGACAGGGACTGATGCAGGGGCGGACTGACCATTTGGAAACTCGGGCACTGCCCGAGGGCCCGGGGTCAGTAGGGGGCCCCATGAGATGCCCCTGGTACCTTTTTCATAGGCTTTTTTGAGTTTGGGCAAGGACACAGGGGCCCCATGATCCCCTATTGCCTGGGGGCCCCATGAGTTGTCAGTCCGCCCCTGGACTGATGTGTATTTACTTTATGTAAAGTATTACGTAAACTGCCTTCCCTACATAAATAACTGTAATTAATAAATATAGATGCTGGTGCTTGAGGCAAAGGGCTAGACTTTTTTTTTTCCCCAGCTGGTTTATTTCAGCCTACCATAGTCCGTTCAAATTTCAAACAGTACAATGTGTGTAATACCATTACAATACATGTCTCAAACAGTACATGTAGTACTATGATCGTTAATACATAGGATGCTTAGAACTGACATCAAATTATATTTAAAAAAACAAAAATTAACAAATACATTACAATGGAATGAACAAGAAAAAAAACAGATTTCCTGTATGATTATTCCTGAAACTGAAGTGACCACAAGCCCACCCTGGGTGAGTGCTAACAACAAAAGATTTAATTGGCTTTTTGTCATATTCCCACGATTCCCGAGGCTTTTAGCTAAACTGCAAGCTGATCATGTGGATTTAATTTAACAAACGTACTTAATGCATTCAAACAAAAGTTTATCCTACTACATATAAAATTCCAGTGGGGACTTCCTGTAGTGGGCTGTACAATCACTACGAATTCCACAATTTGGCATTTTTCAGCCCTGCTCTTCTTGACTTCCGAATCTCCTGTTTTTCTTACTGACCTCTTTCATTTCCTCACCCGTAGCCTCTGACCTCCGGCAGCAGTGGGTGTAAAATGATGAAAAATACATGTGTGCTTTGTTGACAGTGGGAAGAATGAAACATAAAAATAATCTCTTTTTCTGTGGATAGTGAACATCCTTCACGCTCCCTCACCCTAAAATGATGCTAGCTTGCTCTTGCATCCCTGCACATATTTGTGCACTTTTGCATGGGTGAACATAGCATGTTTAGAGTTTGCATAGATGGACATAGCATGCTTAGAGTTTGCATAGGTGGACATAGCATGCTTAGAGTTTGCATAGGTGGACATAGCATGCTTAGTTTTCACATGGATGAGCATAGCCATGCTTAGTGTAGTGGCTGGAATTAGTTAGCTTGCTGTGAGTGATCAATTAAAGGGTCAGTGCACCCAAAAGTAATGATTTAGTTGAAGGTGATGTCTGGTAAGCTGAGACTCTTAAGCCTAGTACACATGCCAGTCTCACAGAAAATGATAAGGTTACTAAAGTTACAAAAATTCTCGTAAGACAGAATACAACTTCGGAAGTGATGTAATCTATTGTAATGTATTCTTTCATTTCCAAACATGTTCGGTCTTGGTTACTCATTTGTAAGTAGGGGACTTACTGTACAGGCAACAGCTTCCTGGCAGACTTGCTTAGTTTGGTTTGGACTAGGATCTGAATGCGCCTGAGATCATCACTAGTGTGGGGGAACTTAACCCCTTGGCGCCGGCGCCTCCCGGCTCTTTAAGGGTTTCAGAAGACGGGAGGCGGGCGGGGTTTTAGGGACATGTAACCACTGTGATTCGCTGTCGGGAAAGGTCCCGAACACAAGAGGAGATCAGGACTTTTCCGTGAGTACCGGACATGTGTGCTGGGAGAGCGCAGGGTGCGCGCTCTCAGCACATATGTTTTTTTTAATTGCATACAAATGTGCGGCCACTCGGCGTCAAGGCCCAGATGAGAGGCCGCACATTGGCGTGCGCTTGGCGTGAAGAGGTTAAGTGGGCTGCACAGAGCCCTGACCCCAAACCTGAACTTTGGGATGAATTAAAACACCTATTGTGGGCCCAGTTGTAGGTGGGGTGCAGCGTGGTGCGATGGCAATAATACACACAGTACAAGTGCAATATAAGAACATGTAATGAAGCAATGCAAACAGTCACAACAAACCCGGTGGGAAGACAGCGCAGTGAGGAATACTCTCGGATCTCAACAGCAAGTAAAGAGTAGGCTTCAGCCAAACCAACAGCGCCCGTGAGGAAGAGCAGAGTGGGGCCAGGCCAGGTCTTGTACGCAAGCAAGAAGATGTTCAGAGAAGTTGCGAGCCCTACACCTTCCCTCCTCATCACGAACCTTTTCCTGCCACTACTTCTGTCTCTAACAGACGTGGTACCTGACCCTTCTCTACCCACTCTCAAATGCATGCCAAAACCTGGGGGCAGGGACTATCAAGCCTCTGCTGACCCAAGATGGCCAACAAGGGTCAACTAGATGCAGTGCGGCCAAGTGGGACACTACCTTTAGGGACCAAGAAAATACATGCTGACAGCTGGAGAGGAGAGGAGAGGAGAGCCGGTAATCGGCTTTCCGCGGAGGGGACATGTACACTCATCATCAGGGCACTGATGATCAGTGTGGCCCCAAAAGTGCCACCTGTCAGTGTCCATCAGTGCCAGCAGTCAGCGCTCATCAGTGCCACGTGCCAGTGCCCATCAGTGCCACATCAATGCTACATATCAGTGCATACCAGTGCACATCAATGCCACATATCAGTGCCCATCTGAGCTGCCTTTAAATGTCACCCATCAGTGCCAGTCAGTGCCACCTATCAATGCCAATCAGTGCCACCTATCAGTGCTGCCAATCAGTGCCAGTCAGTGTCACCTATTAGTGCGCATCAGTGCCGCCTATCAGTGCAAGTCAGTGCCGCATATCAGTGCCAGTCAGTGCCGTCTAACTGCCAGTCAGTGCTGCCTAACAGTGCCAGTCAGTGCCGCTTATCAGTGCCAGTCAGTGCTGCCTATCAGTGCCATATATCAGTGTCATGTATCAGTGCTGCCTGTCAGTGCCCATCAGTGATGCCTGTCAATGCCCATCAGTGCAACCTACCAGTGCCTCCTCATCAGTGCCACCTATCAGTGTCCATCAGTGCAGCTTCATTAGCGCACATCAGTGAAGGAGAAAAATCACTTATTTACAAATTGTATAACAAAAACTAAGAAAAAACTTTTTTTTTTTTTCAAAATTTTCAGTGGTTTTTGGTTTGTTTAAGAAAAAATAAAAATCCCAGAGGTGATTAAATACCACCAAAAAAAAGCTCTATCTGTCTCAAAAAAAGATAAAAATTTCATATGGGTCCAGTTGCATGACCGTGCAATTGTCATTCAAAGTGTGACAGCACTGAAAGCTGGAAATTGGCCTGGGCAGGAAGGGGGTATAAGTGCCCCGTAGGCTAGTGGTTAAATAATGTTAATTGCCTTGATGTGGCTGACTTGGGTATTTTAGACAATGCACATGAAGTAGGTGTGTGGTCATCCTACAAGTTTACCTACAGGTTTAGCTCAATATCCTGTTTGGGGGGGGGGGGGGGGTATTTCTCCCAAAAGAGGGCTAACACATATGAAATAGAAGCCTTAGATTGTGAGCTCTTGAGGGCAGGGACTAATGTGAATGCATAGTACATTAAGCCTTGTTGAAATTCATGCTGTGTGCAATAAATACCTGTAATAAATAAGACACAGACTGCCAGAATGATATGTGTACAGCATTTCTTTTTTTACAGGAAGGCTTTACCTTCATTTTGATCCCGAAGTCTCTTTAAAAACCTGTTGAAGATTTCATTGGCCTTATTAATCAGATTTACATGATCATCGTCTGCTAAAAAAAAGTTTGGCCACTGTGATCTTCATATATATGGTAATTCCTACTTAGGTTGTATCAAAAATATAGAAGAAGCTGGGAATCAGAGGCCCTTACAGGTTCCCATCAATTTACGGTCATGTACTGCCATGAAAACACCATTCCTTTACAAGACAAGCCTTATACAACACAAAGCCACATATCATAGCTCCCAACTGATTTCAAAGGACTGTCCCTGATTTCGAACAAAGTCCCCTTGTCCCTTATTCCTCCTAATTTGTCCCTCATTGTGGTCTCATACATACAGTTGTAAATAAAACTAATTTTGTATCATTCAAAAAGTGTTTCCCAGTGCTAAACCTTTCATCCAATTTCTAAATTGCTGCATTCATAAATTTCAAAAGCAAGTATAAAGGAAGAGTAGTGGTGAAAAAAAAGGCAATTGTGTATTTAACTAACCATTTTTTTTTTTAGAAATCTCCTTTAAGGGGGCATGGCAGAGGGGGTGTCCTATGCCTATGTACTTTTCCTAAAAGATGTCCCTCATTCCCATCTCAAAAAGTTGGGAGGTATGTATATACTCCATGTAACTGTCCATAGAACAACAAGGAAACATTTCCAAGAAGAAATAAGAGAGGAGAGAAATCCAAAATAGCTGGGAACTAGGGAGCCATCAGCATGATGGATCGGCTGGATGCTGAAGCTGGTCCAAGATGTTCTGGTAGCTGGGGATCAGTTTATCCAGGAGTTCTGTGTGACATCCGGCCTAATTTCTGACAGTAGAAACCATATTCCTTAGTAGAGTTGGATCCAACTTTATGGAATATTGCACAGATCATATTAATTATTTGGAAAGGCAATCTTATGCATATTTTTTTCTTTTGTTGGAGTCTGGGGCTTATGCAACAAAAATGTATATTGGAAGAGCAGTACATTGTACACTCATAAATCTGTATAATAATGCTCTGGGGTATATGATGTATTTTTCTTTGCATAGCAAGGGGACAACACACACTCATAAACATACTACTTGTTTCTTTGAGTTTAAAAGAAAAAAAATTTACATTTTCTGCTACAGTTTTTTGTAGGTATGGGTAATATTATGCAGCTTCTAAGCAATTTTTTCTATTAAAAAAGAAAAAGAACTAAAAATGTTGATTTTTGAGAAAAGAATACAAAATACTCCAAACATCCCACAAACTGGCAGGAACACGCTTACCATACACATTTGTTTTTATTTTGTCATATGTCCAATTTTCAGCAACTGCATGACACCAGCATTGACACCAGCATCACAGGAACTTGTCAGGAGAGCAGATTGTGCATAGCAAATAATACATTAATAGTACAATATAGTTAACTATTTGATATAAAGTTGGAACTACATTGGCTTTATTCTGACATGTTTTGGGCTAGGCACAGCGCTTTTTCAAAGGATAGGGTGGCTGAACTTTCAGTGTTTCAGGAACGTTTCTCTCTTTGACAGCTGCTGGTCTTATTCCAGCATCCCGGTTTTAGCTATGATGCATCCCTGTCTGTCTATCCACCCTCAAGGTGATTGATGTGGCCCATCTCTGGGTGGAGACCAAACCTGATTTAAAATGGTAGTAAACCGCCAGAAAAAAAAACAATGGACACCACATATTAGTACATTATGACAGACTTACCTTTACACATAGCCTTCCAGCACAGTGCTGTCATGGCTCCCCAGCACTGCCATCTTCATCCAGTCTTCCTTCTGGGTTTGCAGGCTCCAGCCGCATGAATGGTCAGAGACGAGATGATGTACCCTTGGCTGCGGCATGGGCTCTGAAGGTCCAGCACAGCTATGCCGTTCCTTCAGAGTTCATGCGCCAGTGACATAACCAGCTGCATGCTGTGTGAATATCTCCTAAACAGTGCAAGTTTAGGAGGTATTCACAGTACCTACAGGTAAGCCTTATTATAGGCTTACCTATAGGTACAACTTAAACAAAAGACTTTACTACCACGTTAAGCCAGCCAAGCCTGCAGTCTTATGCTTTGTAAACTGTACTGCAAGCTCCCTGTCTGTCTGTCCTACTCTGCTGTTTTGCTTCCCTGGTTGATGACCTTGGATCAGATATCGGACTTCTCTCTGAACTCTGCCTGTCTTTTGACTATAGATCTGACTCTGACTACCCTGAACCTTGCCTGTCTTGTACCTGGATTGTCATTGAACAACTCTGCCTGTTTGCCAACTGCAAGTACCTGTTTGCTGTGCTCAGTTCATGACTGCCTTGGCATGGTGGCCAGGCACTACAGAATTGGGCACAGCCAGATCTAGCCTATATGACCTGGGGGTACAGTTAAAAAAAAGTCAGGCGGGATAATGTTACCATTGTGTGTAAGTCACTGACAGTCTATCACAAAGTCTCATGACCTGGGAAACACTATTATGAATTTGGTTTTCATTAGATTAGGGTAATTATAAAAAACTTGTTCCCCCTTATATCAGATGTCTCTATGACACCCCATCAGTGTCAACATCAAAGTGCCCTCTTACATCAGTGCTCCTAATAAAGTCCCCTCCTTACATCAATTGTCTTCATCAGAGTGTCCCCTTACATATGATTAATCATCCCCATCAGAGTGCCCCCTTACATCAGGTGTCCATATCAGAGTGCCTCTTTACATCAGGGTCCCCATCAGAGTGCCCTCCTACATCACTTGTCCCCATCAGAGCACCCCCTTACATCAGTGCTCCTAATAGAGTCCCCCCTTATATCAACTGTCTTCATCAGAGTGTCCCCTTATATTTGATCAGTTATCCCCATCAGAGTGCCCCCTTACATCCAGTGTCTTTGTCAGAATGCCCCCTTACATGTATTGTCCCCATTAGAGCGCTTCCTTACATCAACTGTCTACATAAGATGGGCTCATAGATCAGTGGCAACATTCTTAGAGACCTGAGGGCACAGCTAAAATCTGGAGAGGTATAGCCCACCCCCAGCACTCCCCAAGGTCCGGCCCTGGCAATGTGTATGAGTCCTGGAGGCAACCAAGTACTGGTAGGTCTGCTTGCCTTATTGAAAAGGGGGCTGCTATAAATGAAGAACACAGAAGCTAGCTATAGTGTCTGACCACCTGCATTAGGGGTAAGTGTAACACAGTGCCTGTCGGTAACTCTAAAATCAGAGCAATAGAGAATGGAACACCAGACCAAAAACAGATGAAAGAGTCCAAGATGATTTTAACTGTTGCTAAATAAGTCATAAAAATAATCTCAAAGCATTTCAGGGGCAACACTACTCTACCTTCATCAGGGCTACAAGAATAAACAAAAAACATAATTATAATAAATAACGTATAAAAATACGCATGCATACCACAAATTCTAAAGCATCACATAATAACAAATCGTCATATGACTTCCAGTTGTCTCCCATATATATCACATATAATACTGTATATACAGGGTGCAGCAACATAACTTCCTTTTTTCAAAACGCAATAAAACCCATTTTATGAATCAGAATTGTTTTTATTGTCTTTAATAATGTAGGTACATATCTAAAGTTCTGTTTTACACAGTTTTGAAAATCATATCAGGTAGGTGACGCCCCCCATTGTCCATACACTGAATAAGCCAATTTCTGGCGTTTTTCATGACCCTTACCAGCATAGCAGCGGGTATGTTGGCAATTTCTGCGCGGATGTTGGCCTTCAGGTCTTGTAGGGTCCTTGGACGGTTTACATAAACGCGGGATTTCAAAAAACCCCATAAAAAAAAGTCGCAAGGGGCCAAATCGGGGGAGCAGGGCTGGCCACTCCAAATTGCCCCTTATTGAGATGAGGCGCTCCGGGAAGTGTTCCCTTAAAACAGCCATTGATGCTCTTGAAGTGTGAGCCGTTGCTCCGTCCTGTTGGAACCAAATGTCCCCTAAGTCCAATTCATCAAGTCATGGAAAAACAAATTCCTCCAGCATGTTCACATACCGGTCTGAATTCACTTATTCAGTGTATGGACAATGGGGGGTGTCACCTACCTGATATGATTTTCAAAACTGTGTAAAACAGAACTTTAGATATGTACCTACATTATTAAAGACAATAAAAACAATTCTGATTCATAAA